ATCCCTCCAATCTGCGTTACTGTTTCCGTCCGTCTAGATACATGTGGTTCACATGAATTTCTAACAAATATGTGGAAGCTCATGTAACCTGAAGAATAAAAGATAACAATATCCTCTCCCTCACCCCGTTGAAACACCCTTTCAAACCAGTTGAAGTTATGTTCCGGTTCTCGAGTGTTGATCGGTATCAACAGACACAGAACGATATTGCACTTATTCATTTCACGAACTATCACCAAGATGGAGTGGATATTTCACAAGCTCCCTCGAATGTTGCTAAACTGAGGACATTTTTTGTATCATAATTACTTGTTCACCAATAACGCTCGTTACGCAGTGAAACTACCAACCACACATTTGTCTGATCCAGCTTCGAAATCGCCTTTCGTTTTTTTATTTCATTTCCTTGTGTGCCGTTTCCCCTATAGAATCATGCCCATATCAGATTATCATGTGCACTATATCCCGATCTTTTCTGTTGTTCTCAATAGTCGAAGTGTTTCTGGGTGATTAGTGTTTCTGAAGTCTCACTCAGATTACCTCACCAAATGATAATAATCGCGACATCATTCGCTTAACAAAATTTCGAACTGCTTACAAAGAAAAAAGAATTTGAGACTTTTATGGAATTCAAATCCGTGCATTGAGGGCATGAATTCTAGTCCTTGTCCAGTAACCATATACATGATCGAATGATTTTATTCTTCATAACATGGATCACAAGAAAATGGACAATAAAGATGTTTCACTTGTCCTCAGTGATTGTGAGACACTTTTCAACTGTTCCAAAATTCTGTTTAATGATCATGATTGTTGGTGGTGTTGAACCAACTTATCTCCAGTCCCTCCTCACCTCCCCGTTGCGTTTAAATCACATAATAAGAAGAAAGGTCTGACCCAAAAATGGTTTATCCAGTCAAACCAAACTCTTTGTATATTTCTGAGACATTTAAAGCGTTTGCAAAAAAGAACAGTAATGAACGGCCTACGAAGTGCTCTTTTTTCTGAGATTTCAAAACAACAAGAATGAGTAGGTATTCAGCTTGGAGGTTTATCAAAGAAAAGAGCAAGCATATAGTACAGTTCCGGACCATACGTCTAATGGACCCTATGGAAGTAATTGTGCTCCTTGTTCGGAACTTCGCTTTTGTGATTGGTTAATGATAATCACAACGGAATCAGTTGCAAACAGAGCCCGGCCTCATACATCGGATTTATCACTATGGGGAGTAGGAAAAGTATGATCAAATGCGAATGATATTCGTTAACGCTCACCGACAAAATGGGCAAAACTGAGACTTCTTGAACGGGAAACAGTTATAGCTCTAAATACCATCAGGGAAGGTCATTTGGCTAACTTTCATGATCCACTTGTCCTGAGTCAGGGGGGTCGATTGTACACCGCGGCAGTTCGGCCAGTTCTGATATACGGAGCAGAAAACAGAATAAAGATAGACTGTCAGCGTTTTGACACCGCTGTCTACGCGGCATTGCATGAATCTGATGGGGCAGCCGAACAAGCAATGCTGAGGTTAGGCGTCGAGTTTTAGGTAACCGTGGCCGCCCACTGGAGCAGGTGGTCGACTTCCCTAGATTATGCTGGTTGGGGCGTGTGGTATGCATGTCACCACATAGGTTGCCACTGCAAGTAATGTCCACCGAGGCAGATAGTGGGTGGAATACAGCCAAGGGTGGTCCAGCTAAGATCTGGCATGAGGGTATGAAAACCCTAACCAGGAGTTTGGGTCATATAGGTCCTGTCAAGCTCCCTGGATGGGGACTTCGGAACAATCGTAATCGATGGTTAGAGGCACTGAGCGATATGACTGAGTGTCGTAAACAGTAGTTTTCGTGCATCTTCTCAGTTTATTTGCAACATTACTCCAATGAACTCTCCAATTTTCTCTTCGATTCCACTTTCAACTTTCTTGTCTTTCTCCCACTGTTCATCATCACGGGCAACCAAGAGACAGCAACAAAAACCGGCGCACGAAAGTGCATGGTTAGTGGTCGTTCAAACTGAACTGAACATAGTAGTTTTGGCATTGTTCGTCAAGGCCATCTGAGTTAGCCCATCGAATTCCTGATTTAGTTGTTCTCGCAGAAACTGAGACTTGTCTACGCTCCTTTTTCTCTGTACTTATTTCCTTTACTCATTCTTACACCAAACCCAATTGCAATCTCTGATATTTTTCATTTTACTTCCTTTTATTGAATATACAAAGTTAAAATTTTTCACGAAGGGGGGAAGCGACCAATCAAAGGGCTGACATACAATACACAAATGGGGAAAGTCAGGCGGTGGTGGTGGGATTCGAACACTCGTATTCCGGGGTAATAGTTGGTGACGTTACCACCGGGCCACCACCGCCCGCAACACATGCACCATCAGCTCTGACTTGGTTTTATTCGTTTAGGTGGAAACAAGCATTTAATCAACAAGAATATATGTAGATTCCGTACCGTCCCCTCTGCCATTCCGATTACAATAATCTAAAAAAGACATTCCAAGAAGACCGGAATTTAGTAATCAATACAGTGCATGTTTGGATAAGCTCATTTGCTTAATCGCAGACACCAAGCACTGTTGATGATCAGGGGAAAGAGAGTTGAATCCCCACCCGAGTCCTGTAAAGGACATCAAGTGTACGCACTGCTGACGGGTCCCAAATGGGACAAAAGGGATCTTCGATGCTGCTTGTTGGCCGTCACAAGGATCTCTATCGCATTCAAATGGTCACCATCACCCCGAATTTCGATTTCCTTCAGTCAAAAGCACGTCACTCTAAGAGAGAGAGAAAATAATGCAGTTGCTCGTAGATAAATATAAACCCGACAAATGTTCTCAGGTGTTCCATTCAAGTGCATTTATTCTGCAGTCAAATACATCAAATTGTAGCTTAACTACATCTTGATTGAGATGTATTCATTGCATATATGGCAAAGAAATTTACTGTTTTCCTTCATGCCAAAGTGTGTAATATCGCATGAAAGAGCACAATTGTCCATTGACTCATATTGGTCCTTCTTGGCTTCCTGGTTAGCAATGGACTGATGGTTATATCCTACGAACAGAGAAATTGTCTGCTCGAACTGGGATCCGTGACTTACCTGCTTTCACACCCTAACTTACCCAGTGTCTTCATCTTCCGTCCGTCCTCAGTTTTTCCGTCAATACATTGACTTACTCATGGTTGTAGGCTTTGTGACATGCTAGACTAATAATAATGGCAAACGGATCTGTAGAAAAAAAATCGATTATATTTAGTCAGAGTATTCATTTATATTTGCCAATCCGGAGTTTGTCTCTGCGTCCAGTGCACTCAAGTCTCATCAAGGTATCAAGCAGCTCTGATCAAGCAATTTGATTTGCGTAATCGGTGAAACATGTGATGCAGTTTTGCAGTTATGCGTAATGTGGCTCGACTGAAGTTTGAAAATACCCATTTATCAGCTGAATCAGGATCGATACACACACACGTGGAATAAGTGTCCATAAGTTAGTTACGCCATCATTAACAGTTTTTCCGAATTCGCTGAGTATTTTTCAAAACTTGTACCTTTGACGATAACGTATGGC